CTACTCTATAGGGCCCTAGGGGCTCTAGTACCCTTTATAGTAGGTACCTGGGGGGCGGTTAGGGTTTTAGGGTTCCGGGTTTAGGGCTTTGAGGGGAGGGTTTAAGGGGATCATGGTGTTTGAAATCTGGGGTTTAAGCTCTCAAACGCAGGCCCCAGGACAGTCCCTTCTGTAAGCTTTTCAATTCTAGGGTTTAGGGATTTAGAAGTTTGGGTTCCAGGTTTAGAATTTGGGGTTCCAGGTTCAGAATCCGGGTTAAGGTGTCGAATTCTGGGTTAAAGGTTTTGAACGTAGGGTTTTTGCGGTAAAAAAAGCAGTGTTCAAGCGTTGTAAGGCTTTTGAGATTTGGGTAGTTCTCTAAATTAGGGTCCCTTTTTGGGTCCGTTTTATAAGGGTGCCGTGCTACATTGGGGACCTAAACAACCCATTTGGAGGTTGAGATCTTAGGATTTACCTGAACCCCAAAAGTATGCAAAATAATAGCCCTTTGTAGGTGGGCCATTATTTTGCCTTCTTTTAAGGGTTTAGGTAGTGGTTAAGCGGATTCAGGGTTTCGGGTATTCAGATTCCTGGTCCAGGACTTGGAGTTTTGGGTTTTGGGTTTTGGGTTTACAGGGTTTAGGGTTTTGGGTTTGTAGGGTTTAGGGTTTTGGGTTTTGGGTTTGTAGGGTTTAGGGTTTTGGGTTTTGGGTTTGTAGGGTTTAGGGAGGTAGGATTAGGGTTTTGGGTTTTGGGAGGAAGGATGAGGCTTTAAGGTTTAGGGTTATGGGAGGTAGGATTACGGTTCAGGATGCACAGATTAGGGGCAAGGATGTCGGGTTCAGGATTCAGTTTTCAGGGTGTGCCGAAAGCCCGAGTCGTCAAAACATCATGACCGAAGCTGCGCCTCTAAGGCCCTAAACCCCAAGCCCTAAACCTTACCTAAACCCCCAAAGTAGGTAAAATTATGGCCCAAACCTATAAAGGGCTATTATTTTACATACTTTTGGGGTCCAGGTAAACCCCCTCAACCCTAAAACTTCAACCCTAAGATCCCATGTCCAGACTCTTCGTCTGCGGACTGCAGTTTTGCTCCAGCACCTCGGGGCCGTAAGCGCATGGCTGCGCAGCCATGTTCAACGTTACGGTGGCATTGCTCAGCGGGCAGAGGCACTCATCACGGATTGGGGCATCCAGGTTGTTTTAGAACAGAGTTCTCAGGTTACGGTTGCCGTCTCTTTCCGAATCTGGATGTTTCAATCAGCCGGCTATGCAAAAACAGCCTTGCCTATCCTTGAGACTTGCCTTCTTGTCGCGAGAAAGCACAGCCCTCGGCCCAAAACCCAAACCCTAGAAACCCTAAACCCTCAGCCCAAAACCCTAAACCCTCAGCCCAAAACCCTGAACCCCAATCTCTCAGCTCAGCCCAAAACCCTAAACCCTAATCTCTCAGCTCAGCCCAAAACCCAAAACCCTAATCTCTCAGCCCAAAAACCCTAAACCCTAAACCCTAAACCCTAAACCCTAAACCCCCTAAGAAGGGCCGAGATTGCCTTGGCATCGGACCGCCCGGTCCACGCGTTGCGCCGGGCGGCGGAGTCGGCGCTGGGTCGGCCCCTTAAGGCCCAAACGGGGCGGTTTTTTGGGGCTTAGGGTTCCGATTTTTGGGGTTTAGGGTTCCGTTTTTTGGGGTTTAGGGTTCCGATTTTTGGGTTTAGGGTTTAGGGTTTTAGGTTTTAGGGTTGTTTAGGGTTTAGGGTCCCGGGTTTAGGGTTTAGGTTTCAAGTTGAATCAAGGGTTCCAAGCTTAGGGCTTAGGCTTTAAATGGTTTAGGGTTTGGGGCTCTTTCCTCGAGAGATGTCTTTTGGATTCTTCATGTCGCTTATTATGTTTGGTTTCTTGTGCTAGCGTCATACCATAATCATCATTGATTCGTTGCCATTCATGGATGGTTTTGAGTTGTGTTTGTTGTTCAGATCTGGCTCAGACTTTTTGAGCGGGTTTTCGGATTCAGTTTTCTAGGACAGACAGGGCTTCAAGCTTTTGTCAGATTCGGGGCTTAGATTAGCGCCTCGGGCTTCAAATGCTTTTATTAAGATGTACTGTCTACCCGCCCGCCATCAGGAGTTGAGGACAGTGAAGTTGGTGCATGTAGGTTCCAGATCCGTGGAAGGCTGGGGTGGGACGTGGATGGACAACGATGCGAGTACAACGCAGAAATGCACAGCAGAGCATGGCATGTCAAAACCACCTTGAAGAAGCAAACAGCGCCAGGCGCATCACAACAAAAAAATAAGATCCATCATTCTCCAATCTGAGCACAAGGCAGCATGGCACATCAATGCCTTACAAAGGAGGTAGAAGATGCGAGAGAAAGGTCATGCAAACGTAAGGAATAGTATGGCTAATTATTCGGCGGGCTTCCGTAATCTTGTGTATAGTCCGCAAAGTCCAGTACCCCTTAACCAGGGAATCTTCCTTCAACTGTCAGAATTCCTCATAATTGAACTGATACTCACGGGACCCCTCAGGGTTCTGATTTATTGAGTCTGTGTGACTGTCTGATGATCCCCAAAACCTGTTCTAACTAGTCCCTAGGTTAGATCGCTGGTGACAAGAAAAGTCCGACTGCCTGAAGGCTTTGATTTCTCCAGGAGGCACTGTGCGTTGGGGGGGAGATCTGGACAGTCTCGTGAAAGCTGTACAGTCCAGTTGGGACGCGTTTGGGATCTAGATGTGGTGGTGTGGGCTTCTGTGGATTCAGTACAGGTGGCTTAAAATTTAGAGATTCGGATTTCGAGTTCAGTGGTTGGTGTGAGCGAACATCTGTCACTGTGGAGCTTGAGCTTCGAAGGAGGGGCGTTTGTTGAGCATGAGGGAGCGGACTCTGGCATCAGACATAGTTGAAGCAGAGTCGCAATTGTAGTAGTCATGACAACTACATTGCGAGTAGGGTCATGGCGTCGTAAGAAGGAACATGAGGGTACTGAGAACAGAAACCAATACAGCAAGGAGAATATCAATGAAAAGGGCAACAGCCGTAATATTCTCAGACATAGAAATAGCACGGCTACTGAGGCTAATGGACAGAATCCTGCAACACCTTACGCGCCCGAAACTACGGACATTTGAGTATATTCCTCATTGCTGGTATCAGTTAGAGCAATAGCGAAAACACGCCAACAACACCGATGGCCGCACCCTAAACCCTAAGCCGCTCGACACGGCACTCCTACAGTCTAGGGCTGCACATTAGAGGAAAGGAGCCCTCCATAAATCCTAAGCCCTAAACCCCTAAACCCCTAGAAACCCGTAAATCCAACACCCTGAACCATAGGTTTCAGGGATCGAGCTGACTTTTGGGCCTCCACCAGTCGAAGAGAGGGCAAGGTTAGGGGTCCAACGGATAGGTACTTCTCTAAATTAGGTTCCACTTTAGGGGCCGTTTCAAAAGGGTGCCGTATTATTTTTGGGACCCAAAGAAGGGGGCCTTGATTTAGAGAACCCTAAACCCTAAACCCTAAACCCTAAACCCTAAACCCTAAACCCTAAACCCTAAACCCCTAACTACGGAGAGGCTTTGGGGTCTCGGGTTCAAGGTTGCGCGCTTAGTTACGGCTTTAGGGGTTGGAGGGCTTCGAAGCGGTTTAAGGATTCAGGGGATGTTTAGACCCTAAACCCTGAACCCCTAAACCCCTAAACCCATTTATGTAACAAGGGAGGATCTAGAGTCCTTCTGAAAAATCCTGAACCTTAGATCCTAAACCTACATCACTCTTATCCTACTTCCTATCCCCCCAAATCCTAAACCTATATCACTAGGACTCACTATGACTATATCCTACTTCCTATCACCTACATCCTGAATCCTATAAGCCCGAAATCCCGAACCTTAAACCCTAAATCCTAAACCTCATAAAGCCCTAATATAGGGGGCTTACAATAATTAGAATAGGGTTTTGGGGTATAGTATACTATAATTCTACTAAGGAACACCCCAAAATATATTGGTCGTTATTTAGTTTTCTGGTGGTTCCTTATTATAGATATAGTATAATTGGCCCCAAAACCCTATTCTAATTACTAAGGCCCCTAAACCCGAAACCCTTATGGTAGCCCTTATAAGGACCTCTTTGAAGGCACCCTATGAAACCCTATTCTAATTACTCAGGCCCTTACCTTCTAGAACCCTTATAGTAGCCCATGTAGAACCCTTTAAAGGAGCCCTTTACAGGAGCCCTTTAAAGGAACATTATTCTACTTACTAAGGTCCCTATAGCCCCCGCCCCCTCCCACCCCCCAGGTTTGAGGCTCAACGGCCCCAGCCGGCTCTGCGACGCTGGCCTCCAGGATGGCGATGTGCTGAGCGCCACCATCCGGGAGCCAGGTGTGTTGATGACTTGGGGTCTAAGGGGTTTTTGGGCTTGGGGGGCTTGGGGTTTAGGGGTTGGGTTTTTTGAGGGGTTTAGGGTTTAGGATTTAGGGGTTGTGGATTTTGGGCGCCACACAGGGTTAAGGGTTGAGAGTTTGTGGGCTTAGCGTTTGTTGAGTTGAGGTTTTGGTAGGGTTTAGGGCTTGCAAGGTTCGGTCTTTTTAGGCTTCACTGGGCTGTACAGGGCTTTTTCAGGGGAGGGTTCATGCGGTTTAGGGTAGGCCTGGTAGGCTTGGAGTGTTGTAGGTTTTGTGGTCTACCCATAGGTCCTAAAGTAGCTCCTTTTTAGGGTTCATATTTAGAACCCTATAAGGTAGTCCCGAAAAGCAACTACTATGGGGCCTATGGGTACAGGGTTTGCAGCTTATATGGCTTAGGGGACTTACAGGGTTTAGGGCCAGCGTTTATGATCTTGCGGCTTGTAGGTTTTACAATTTGCTGGGTTTAGGGTTTTCAGGGTTTACAGTTCACAGGGTTTAGGTTTCATAGTGTGGAGGGGTTCATATGGTTTAGTGTGCATAAGGCTTATAGACATCCGGGAGCCAGGTCCTGTGATGGAGTCCTACAGGAAGGCAGGGTAGAGAGCGCCCCTCGCGAGGTAGAACTTAGCGACGTCTCCCATACTTTTGTAAACTTGCTTGTTGAAGGATACGAGGCAGCAGCAACACCAGTCTGTGCTCTTCCCTTCGATTGGTGTCTTTGGTTTATTCTGCTATGCACCTTTTGCCGGCCGCAGTTTATCCGGTCAGGCTTTCGGCATTTAGGGTTCAGGGGTTCCGCGGCTTTTACAGTTTTGGTGCTTGGATCAGGCTCAGGGGCTTATGCTCCGTTCGAGGTCGGTGTAGCACGTTTAAATCAATGTTCTAAACACTTTCGGGGTTTGTGGCTCTTTGGTTTTAGGTTTATGTAGGCTATGGGATGAAGGGGCCACAACGGCGGGTTTAGAGTTTAATGCTTGGGGTTCAGGCGTTAGGGCTCGGATTTCGTGCATACCAACATGCGCTATTTCAAAGGATCCCACCCAAGTGTGCTGTGTTCTTCGAAATACGATTAAACCAGCAACAACCCAAGTTGGCAGTGCCGGCTGTCGACTCCGCCTTAGAAGCATTCCACGCTGTAGGGTTTAGGGGTTAGCGATGCTGCTGCCACGCACAAACGGGTCTGCCAACACCAAACTAAACCCCACTCTAAACCCTCAGTTGTTGCAGGCGCGGGCATTTGCGGCCATCGTGGGGGCTGCCGGGAATGTCGTGACCTGGGGAGCTCCACACGGAGGTGGAGACAGCCGCGCTGTTCAGCAACAGTTGTTCGACGTTCAGCACGTCCACATCTCCGAGTTCGCTTGTGCTGCCATCCGGGCAGATGGAAGCGTAGTCACCTGGGGCTCGGCCGTAGCTGGCGGTGACAGCCACGATGTTAGCCATATGCTCTTCGACGTCGTCGAAATTTCTGCTACAAACTCGGCCTTTGCCGCAATCCGGCTTGATGGTTCGGTGGTCGCCTGGGGAGATCCCGAGAATGGAGGAGACAGCTCCGTAGTTCATGAGAAGCTCAAAAATGTGCAGAAAGTCTATTCGTCCAGCACCGCCTTTGCAGCGATAACCAGTGACGGTTCCGTTGTGACTTGGGGCGCCAGCACGGGGGGTGGCGATAGCACGGCTGTGCAGGGAGAGCTACAGGATGTGCAGCAGATCCATGCGAACCGGTCTGCCTTTGCCGCGGTGAAACTGAACGGTCGTGTGACGACTTGGGGAGCCCTGGCCAGCGGGGGAAATAGTTCTCATGTTCAGGAGCGCCTCGTGGATGTTTGTCAGATCCACTCTACAGCCAGAGCCTTTGCAGCTATGCAGACGGATGGGACGGTTGTGACCTGGGGGGCGCCCAGTGCAGGCGGTGATTGCAGCAATGTGGAGCTTGTGGATGTCCTCCAAATCTTGGCGACGGAAGATGCCTTTGCTGCAGTGCGAGGTGATGGCACGGTCGTGACCTGGGGCTGTAGAGACTCTGGAGGCAACTGCCAAGCCGTTCAGACTCAGTTTCTCGGCTTCAATTAGCGTGTACTGATTCGAAGCCTCCTCCTCCTCCTCCAAAGCCCGGCAGCAGCAGGAGCTTCAGTGTTTACTAGTATAGGGGCCTTAATAACTAGAATAGGGTTTTGGGGCCCACTATACTATGATGATAATAAGGAACCCCAAAATAGTAGAGGTAATTATTAAGGCCCCTATAGTATGTGATGTAGCTGCCTCCGGAGTGGCTCCTCTGTCTGCGTTTCGGCCTTCCTCGGCCTTAAGGTTGAGCAACGTGCGACAGCTGCTTGGGGGTTTAGGGTTTAGGGTTTAGGGTTTAGGGTTGATGGCTACGGCTACTGATAGACTTCCATTGTCAGCATATGCTTATAATGTGGCCTTAGTACACAGTCCATGCGGGTAAGATAGACGGCGAGCTAGGTTGGTTGCGACGGATGCGGCCTTTGCTGCCATCAAGGAGGACGGAAGCGTGGTCGCCTGGGGCTGTGCCAGATTTGGTGGTGATTGCTCAAGCGTCGCGCAGTCGCTCGTCGGGGTACAGCAAATCCATGCCTCTGAAGGGGCGTTTGCAGCCATCAAGGAGGACGGTACAGTGGTGACATGGGGGAATTCCAGTGCAGGTGGAGACTCCTCCATGGTGCAGGGCAGCTTATCCGACCTGCACCGCATCCATGTGGCGAGCGGTGCCTTTGCTGCAGTTCGGAACGATGGCCGAGTGGTCACTTGGGGAGATCCTTGGGGTGGAGGCGACAGCAGCACTGTGCAGGACAAGCTGGTTCCTTAAAAAAGCGGCTAAGAAATCGCTTCAACATGGAACTGTGCCACTCCTGCTTTGCAAGAGCCGGGAGCCCGGCTTCTGCGCAAGCCAGCTCTGATTCGATGAACGTGGGATTCTCTGTGATGTGGCCGCGAAGAGACTCCATGGTGAGACGTTTCACTAGCTGCTAGCTGACGGGAATGATGAACTGAGGTGAAGACAGGAAAAAGACATGCCTTTACTATGAGTGTGGTGCAATGGCTCCATGACTCTATGTACTTTGTCAGGACTACAAGACGATTCGTCATCCCTGGTTGTTGAAGCTTCTGCACCTCAGGCTATGGGTTAGTCGTGCAGCAGTTGTTGAAGCATTCAGTGTGAGGCCTAGCTTGTTGGCTAAGGCCGTGATTTCCGATCAGCGAGTGGCACAAGCTCTACACACAGCTCTGGGGCATAGCTCGATCCGGACATCTGAGAAGTCGGCGTCTCTGACGATCGTGTCACCTGCACGCAGATTTAGGACGATCCAGGCACCGTATTTCGGTCTTCGCCAGCACCACCAGGCGCCGTGCAAGAAGAAGCAATAAAGATGAACCGAGCTGTGTACTGTGGCTGGACCTGATGAGACGAAGCATGCGAGTCATGAGCAGAGCGTAGCCCCATGGGTCAGCCCAGCCACGAGGATGTAGGGTTGGGATCCGGATTTAGGGTTTAGGGTTGAGGGAAGGTTCAGATGGGCATTTGGATCCGGACTTTGGGGTGCTGCTTGGGCTGGGGTACTCGGACCATGAGCTTTGGAAGAAAAACCAGGACGAAGTCCAAAGAAGACCGGACAAGGCAACAGTCCTAGCAGTTTGTAGTGTGCGGACCGCACGTAATCACGAAGTTGGAACCTTGGAATGTGAGTGACCGGTATAGCCCTCATGCCAATGCCGGAACCTGGCAAGGCTGGCCCACCACCTGCCGCAGGCAACTGCGATGTGCATTTTTCAGATAGCCTCGCCATGAGCAAGTCTGGGTGAGGTGGCCAAATCAGACAGTCGGTATGATAGGAGATCGCAGTGGGGATGGAACCTTCCCTACTTAGAGGCCCAGGGGACTTAGTAAGTAGGTTATAAATCTGGTTATAATTGGGGTAACTGCATTTAGGGTGCTTATGACTCTACTTATAACCTACTTACTAAGTGCCCTGGGCCTCCAAGTACTTTAGTCGACACAAGTCTAAGTGTTTTTGCGATACGGTTGCCATGTGAGAGGTGATACCACGCGGGCGCACTTCGCTCAGCAGCCGAGGCCTCTGTGTGGTCCAACATGTCTGTGACCTGATTCATGTTGTAGTATATGGCATGTTTTATAGAGTGTCTGCGTATATAGTCAGTATATGTATAGTACATACATTGAATAGGTATATGTACATATGTGTGTATACATCTAGGTGTATATACACACAGACTCACAGACATCCAGATAAATTGCACTTTCGATGAGAAGCGAAGGAGCTTTGTTGTTTTTCTTATCATTGCCAGCGCGCTATGTTTGCTTGTGTATTGAAAGACAGACGAGTTCCGTAGTGTTTCGGATAGATGCAGCTTGTTGTCCCACATTGAGATAAGATGAGAGCCGTGGTTGCACTTATTTTCTCGAACAAGTTTTACTCTCACATAAACAGTCGGGTCTTTAGCTTATGAAAGTTTGTATCCTTAAAGAAGAGCATATGTTCAGTTTAGCCCAAACTTGTTCAGGACATTGCGGCTGTGTCTTGTTTTTTGCCAAAGCAGTGAGAGATGGAAAGCCGCTTCCTGGTTCTTGTGAGCTAGATAGCTAACACACAGCCTGTTTCATGTCTTGTGGAATGATGATCGATACTTTCATATTCCTGCCACGGGCAAAGGAGAAGGAGCCTTTCTTGTGTTCTTTCTAGTTAAGGAGGCGTTCCCCCTGCTTTTCGTTCAGGGAAGAACGGCCGTTGGTTTCTTTGTCATGAAGAAGTCAATGAACCCGACATGTTATTAATCCTGTCCGAACGAATGTCGGGGTTTCCGAAAATAGGGGACCATAGTATAGTACCCTAAATAGTAGTATCCTTATTATAAGGACCCCCAAATAAGGTAGCCTGTTTTTGGAAACTCCCATGTGTTTCAGATGTAAGGAAGTTGTCTGAAGCTTTTGCTGGAATATTAGTTCAAGAGGCACAGAGGTTCTCCATACTTTTGACGGAGAGGGTTCTTATTTCCTACTGATCGCTCTATCAGTCAAATCTCGCCTAATCTCATCTACACTAAACTCGTCTAGTCAAGGCACATATACAAAATCAGCTAGTAAGCCAATACACTGCCACACAAACTAGTAGTCACTAGTTTAATAACCCAATGATCCAACAAACTTGTATCTATCTATCTAATTTATTATCTATCTGTCTAGCTGCCTACTTACCAAGTCTACTTACATATCATCCTATCTATCTATCTATCTATCTATCTATCTATTTATCTATCGATCTATCGATCTATCGATCTATCGATCTATCGATCTATCTAACTATCTATCTATCTGTCCAGCTATCTGTCTATCTATATTTCTATCAACCTGTGTTCATTGCTTCGTTATTATTTTTCATGTATATGTCTGTCTGTGTATGCTTGTATGTACGTATGTATGTGTGTGTGTGTGTATGCATGCATACATGTATGCATGTATGGATGTATGCATGTATGCATGCATGCATCTATGTATGCATGTGTGTTCGTGCTTGTTCATGTATTTATTTCCATTCATGTAATCACTTATTTATTGGATTCTTCTATTTATTCCTCTATTTTCTTGGTTTTCTGATACACTTGGGCATTGTCGGTTTTTGGTCATAATTATACACACGTACATATATATATATATATATATATATGTATATGTATGTATATATGTATGTATGCATATATATATATATATGTCTATCATCTGCTTATGGATATACATATATACGCATGACCACATCCGCATAGAGGTATACATACATCCATACATCCATACGTACATGCACATGTGTAGTGTTTATGTACCACATATATACACACCTGTATGTATATATATATATACACACGTACACACACATATGTATGTATGTATGTATATATATATATGTATACGCGCATGTTTGTGTATATGTACATTCATGTTGCGATATGGTGTTACATGTACGTGTATGTGGAAAACACCTCTTAGACCCAGTGGCATCAATGTGGCACAGGCGGCAGCGTTGCAACCCTTCCCGGCACAGTTGCAGGGAATGCAGATCAAATCTCAGGCTGGACTGCAAAGCTATCCCCGACAGGCTGTGGTGACATGCACTGGAGCGAGCCGCGATTTCTAGAGATTCCAGCGAGAGCATGGCTAGACAAGAAGCTACTAGCAGCGATGAGCAACAGCAGCAGCTGCAGCAACTACAACACGAAGTGCTAGTAGTAGTGCAGTAGCAGTAGCAGCAGCAGCAGGAGGAGGAGCAGCAGTAGTGGTAGTGGTAGTGGTAGTGGTAGTGGTAGTAGTAGTAGTAGTAGTAGTAGTAGTACTAGTAGTAGCAGCAGTAGAAGTAGTAGTGGAAGTAGAAGCAGAAGTAGAAGTAGAAGCAATGGTAGCAGTAGCAGTAGCAGTTGTTGTAGTAGTAGTAGTAGTAGTAGTAGCAGCAGCAGCAGACGACCAGTACGAGTACCAGTTCTAGTAGTAGGAGTAGCAATAGCACTACCGCTGGCACTAGCTCCAGCACCAGCGCTAGCACTAACACTAGCTCTAACACCAGCAGGAGCAGCAGTAGCAGTAGCAGTAGCAGTAGCAGTAGCAGTAGCAGTAGCAGTAGCAGTAGCAGTAGCAGTAGCAGTAGCGGGAGCGGGAGCGGGAGCGGGAGCGGGAGCGGGAGCGGGAGCGGGAGCGGGAGCGGGAGCGGGAGCAGGAGCAGGAGCAGGAGCAGGAGCAGGAGCAGGAGCAGGCGGAGGAGCACGGCCATCCCTTCTGTTGGGGATACTGCCCTGTGAAGAGCAGAAGGGGCTCCTAGAACAAGCGAGCACAAAATCGCTTCCTGCCGAGAAAATCAGATCGAAGAGGGAATCCAAGACAATCAAGAAACGTTTGCCCGCAAAGCTTTGCATTGACGAGGGTAACCTAATAAGTCAAGCCGGGTGAAAGCTCAATAAGGCTTTACAGTACTTTGGTTTTCGCAGCCTCTAAGCAGCGGTGGCGTGCGAATTTCGAAGCCGACCTAGACTCTCCAAAATCTCTCCGACGTTGCTCCTTCGCTTGCTTAGTCCGTTCTATAGATGGTTAAAAGCCCACAAGAAAGAAACTGGGTAGCCCACCATAGGAACTGCATTGGAGAGCAAGTGTATGCCCTTAAACCCTCGCTCCGAAGTCACAGCGCTCAGGATTGGGAAAGCGAGTTCGCCGACAAGTTCAACGAAGGGGATCGATTGATCAAAGGCATGGACTCCATGTCAACCTACGCCAACCCTAAACCATGCGAGCTCCCCATACCTTCACAACCCTCGGGTTGCGAGAGTCCAAACCACAACTTCTGAAGCCCCTACCTTGCTGAACCCGAAAGTTGCCTGGCTTCTTCACCCTCCCAGAGGTATGGCAGACGTGAGACAGCACGAGAGGTCATTCCTCCGCTACAACTGGGACCAGCGAGGCTTCGACTCGGGGGGCGAAAGTCTGGGTTTCCTATGTCCATGCAAGCACTTGAAACGTACTTAGAGGCAGTACCCACCTAGGGGCCACGTTCGGTGTTTCCTGGTTTTGGTGACCGAGGGCATAACGCGGTTTTGAGTTGGGGTGTAGGTTGTGGTGACACTCGTAAACTTCCCGTAGGCTTTCGTCTCGCATCCAGAACCATCATAGGATCTCCTCGTATTGCCAAGAGTTCATCCAGCCTTGCAGACAAAGCATGCCGGTGATAGGCCCAAAGAAACCTGAAAGCACTGATCACAGCAGCTCCCTTGACCTCTTACCCATGCAGCGGGAATCTTTGAACCCGAACTTTT